CCTTTCTCCCTGCCTCAGGAACATACAAGGTTAATTTGAGCAGTGCAAAGGTTGGGACTGCTCCCCAAGGGGTAAGAGACACGAGTTTGGGGACACACAGAAAGAGCCAAGGAGTCATTGGCTCACGACTAGCTAGTAACTACTCAGGAGGCTGAGATCTGAGGATCACAGTTCAAAGCCAGCAGGAAAGTCCATGAGATTCTCATCTCTAATTAACCACCAGAAAGCCAGAAGTGTTGCTGTGGCTCAAAATGGTAGAGTGTTAGTTTTGAGCAAAAGAGCTCAGAGACAGCACCCAGGCCCTAGTTCAAGCCCCATCACACACATACACACACACACACACACACACACACAGCTGAGGATGCAGATCTGCTAACCACATTCAAGGCCCTGGGTTCTAGTTTCGGCCCCCAAAAGACAAAAACCCAATGCACAGGGAAGCATCCAGACAGGACCATGAGGCCCAGAATGCGAGGCCCAGAGAGTCATCCAACGTGACCCACAGGCACCGCCTGGGCCAGGGAGTGTGTCAGGCAGGAGGGAGCTCAGCTGTGTTTTAGAGAAGTGTGTAAAAGGGGCGATGGGCACATGAGCACCCCAAAAGTGAATGCTGACTCTAGGCCGACACCCACCCTGGGCTGGGTCAGGTCCCAGGCACACACGGAACCCACAGGAATGCTTTTCAGCCTCCTGCTCCAGGCCGGCTTGGCCATGCGGACAAAGGAACATCTGAAATGTGAGCGGGGCCCAGCGCCCCGACTCGCAGCGGGAGCCAGGCCCAGGTCTGCGGCCAGAGCATTCCTCCAGCCTGGGTAAACGCCACACACGGCGTGCTAGCGCTGAGGCCACAGACGCTGACAGCTAAGGGTGGTGCTCAGAGGTCACCAGCAAGGAACCCTGCATGCCAGGCCCAAGCTCAACGCCCTCCCTCATTCCCTCAGACTGTCCTCACGGTCTCAGGACTGCCACTCTCCCGACGGCACCGAGTGTGCGCGACTTGCCAAAGTCACGCTCAGGGGCAAGGCAGTGATGAGCAGACTTTGGGTGCAGAAGAGTCCGCAGCGTGAACCCCGAGCTGAGGCGCCTCCAGCGCACGAGGTAGGCCGGGGGACATGTGGGGCGAGACCACACATGGTTGACACCCCTATGAGATCAATTGTACAGATCATTCTGGCTACAGAGTACAGACCAAGCGAGGACAGACTGGCAGCAGGAAAGCCCGGAGGCTGTGACATGGTCCCATAGGGGTGCACTGCTTCCCCCATCTGGGCGGTAGCAGCCATGATGGCTGATCACACCCAATGTTGACCCTGAGGAAGCTGTTTGCTTGGGTAGAGGCTGTTTAACAGGAGAATATTATAAAGATGAGAAGGTCTAGCTGGGCACCAGTGGCTCACATCTGTAATCCTAGAGGCTGAGATTGGAGAGCCATGGCTCAAAGCCAGAATGGGCAGGAAAGTATATGAGACTCTTATCTCCAATTAATCACCATTTTTTAAAAAAAGCCATAAGAGGAGTTGTGGCTCAAGTGGTAGAGCACTGGCCTTGAGTAAAAAGACCTCAGGGACACTCATGCCCAGGCCCTGAGTTCCAACCCAAGTCTAGCACAGAAAAAAAAAAAAAAGGCCCAAAAACTAGTTTAGGGAGAACGGGATACTGAAGTTTAAAGAATGAGTATTGGGCTGTTAGCTTTTCCCATACACAAAATCAACTCCAAATGAATTAGCGGCCCAAAAGAAGTGGAAACTAACTCTCAGAAGAAAACATTGGAAAAGTTTCAAAACACTGGATGTAGCAATGATTTCTACGGAAAGACAGATAAAATGATAAGCTAGTCTTTATCAAAATTAAAACTTGTGGACATCAAATGTCATTATCAAGAGACTATGAAGGCTAGCTGGGCACAGGTGGTTAACTGCTGTAACCCTAGCTACTCAGGAGGCTGAGATCTGAGGATCATGGTTCAAAGCCAGCCTGGGCAGGTAAACCCATGAGACTCTTATCTCCAATCAACCACCCAAAAATAAAATCCCACACAAACAAAAACAAAAACAGCAGTAGAGCCATGGCTTAAGTGGCTGACTGCCAGTCTTGGATGAAAAAGCTAAGGGGCAGTACCAGTCCTTGAGTTCAAGCCCTAGTACTGGTACCAAAAAATAAATTATTAAAGGCTACCCAAAGAATGAGAAAATACTTACAAATGATGCATCTGATAAATGTTTATCTAGAACAGTAAATATAAGACCATATAAAGACTCTTAAAACTAGCCAGGCATGGTGGTGCACACCTGTAATCCCTGCACTCCAGAAGCCGAAGTACGAGGGTTGCAGGTGCAAGGTCAGTTAGGGCTACAGAATGAGTTCCAGTTCAGCTGGAGCGCCAAATAAGATCTTACATTCAATTCAGAAATGAGTAAAAGACTAGGCAGTTTTCAAAACAAAAAACAAAACAAAAAAAACGACTCATGTTTGGAAAGGAGAAGACCCTCAGCATTCCTCATCCTTAGAGAATGCGAATCAAAGTCAGCAAGATGGGCCACAACATCTATTAGGATGCTGCCACCAAAGCCTCGCAGTGCACGTGAAGTCAGCGGAAGTGTAACATTGTGCAGCAGAAGGAAAATTATATGGCAGCCCCTCTAAAAATCAAAGACAGCAGCCGGGCACTGGTGGCTCATGCCTGTAATCCTAGCTACTCAGGAGGCTGAGATCTGAGGATCGCGGTTCAAAGCCAGCCCAGGCAGGAGAGACCTTGAGACTCCTATCTCCAATAAACCGGAAAAACCAGAAAAACCGGAAGTGGCTCAAGTGGTAGAGCGCTCACCTTGAGCTGAAGAGCTGAAGGACAGTGCCCAGGCCCAGAGTTCAAGCCCCACAGGCGACCAAAAAAAAAAAAAAATCAAAGACAGCCAGTTGCTGGTAGCTCACGACTGTAATCCTAGCTAAGAAGGCTGAGATCTGAGGATCATGGTTCAAAGCCAGCAGGAAAGTCTGTGAGACTCTTATCTCTAATTAACTGGAAGCGGTGCTGCGGCTCAAGTGGTAGAGCTCTTGCTTTGAGCTGAAGAGCTCAGGGACAGTGCCCAGGCCCAGAGTTCAAGCCCAGGACTGCAAAAAAAGAAAAGAAAAGAAAATCAAAGGCAACTGGGTACCGGTGGTTCACACCTATAATCCTACTCAGGAATCTGAGAGCTGAGCATCACAATTCAAAGCCAGCCCAAAAGTCTGTGAGACTCTTATTTCCAATTAACAAAAAGCTGTGAGTTGTGGTTCAAGTGGTAGAGCAGTAGCCTTGAACAAAAAAGCTCAGGAACAGCACTTCAGGCCCTGAGTTCACACGCGTGCGCATGCACGTGTACATGCACAAATCAAAGGTGGAATCATCATGCAACCCAGCAATTCGACTTCTGGCTGGGCAGACAGGCCCGAGAACTGAAAGCAGGGAATGGGACAGCTTCTGCACATGGAAGCCCAGAGCAGCGTCCGACTCAATGGTCAAAATGCAGAAGCAACCTTAACATCCAGGGACAGATGGACAAACAGGTGGAATATCATTCAGCCTTGAAAAGCGAACTCTGACAAAAGCTACAACATGGGTGAACCTTGAAGATGGGTTGTATGAAAGAAACCAGACATGAAGAAATAGACGCGGTCGGGCGGCACGTCCACAGGTACACAGGGAAGCAGAAGAGACACCAGCAGGTGGGGGGGGGGGGAGGAAGGGGAGTGGAGGGAAAAGAACAGAGGGCGGGCAGGGATGAGCAGTTCAGAGTTTAAGACCACTGAGTTTCAGTTTAAGATCCAGATCCTGGTGCTGGAGGGTAGCAACGTTGTACAATAATGCGAGTATACTTAATTTGCTGCAGAATGGTTAAATCGGTCATTTTTATGTACATCTACCACAAACCAAAATAGAAAGAGATCTACAAGTCACTGGTAGCAGCGCAGAGAGGTCAGAACTTCTGCGGCCGTCTCTGCAGAGACCACTGACAGCACACACCTGAGCTGGCATTAATTATCACAAGCCATAGCTCGCTGCATTTGTGGAACTTTCCAGTTCCGTCTGGACTCTTCAGGTACACCCCAAGCCAATGTGCAAACTGATTCCAGACCAGGCTACGCTGGTCACTGCTGGCCTTGGAGGTGGGGATCAATGGTAGTATCAAGAGGCCATGGCCCCAAGGCCTGGCCTAGCCTAGGCAGTGACACAAAGGCGTGCAGCCCTTGCCCAGATGTGCAGTATTAAAAGGCATGCCCATTTCCCCACTTTCATTAGAAACACCGTGAGGAAAGGAAGGGATTTGCTTTCACTTACAAAGAACTAGCATTTCTTTCCTTCTAAAAGTTCAGTGGAGTGATTCCTCTGAGTGCTCTGTTGAAAAGAAGGGTGGATGAAAAACTTGAAAGAGTAGAATTCTTTCTTAAGCAGCAATACTGGAACTGTGTCCTGAAAGTCTTGAAACAAACGTTCTGTCCACAGATTCAAAGTAAGCACATCATCCGCCGCCCAGGGAGCTGGCGCCCGGCGCTGGGCCTCGGTCACGCCCCGGTGCTGCCCGAGTCTGGAGAAAGATGGCTGTTCCCATGGGACTCCACAGGTGGACGGGAGGCCGAACTGGGGAACAAAATGTTATTAAAATAACACGCTGGTGGCTCACACCTGGAATCCTAGCTACTCAGGAAGCAGAGACTTGAGGATCTCCATCAGAACCAGCCAAGGCAGGCAAGTCTGTGAGATTCTTAGCCCCAATTAACTACCGAAAGGTTGGAAGTGGAGCTAAGGTTCAAGTGGTAGAGAGCCAAAAAAGCTCGGGGGAAAAAAAAGCATTCAGCCAGAAAGCACTCGTGCTGCATCCAGACACCAATACCAGCCCCCCCAAAAAACATCCATTCTCACACACCTCCCCACGGAATGAAAGCATTCTAGAGTCAGTTCTTGCTGCCATGATTTAAATGTTACCGCCCACTTGGTTAAAGACAAAACAAGATAAAAGTACATATCAAGTGAACAGACCATACTTTATTGGAGATTTGCTTGGCTACAGTTATTACAAAACAAAAACCAAAACCCAAGAAGCCCCCCAGCTCAGGGGGCTGAGACCCCTAAGGTGCAGGCTGCAGCTTGCCCGTGTGCTGGCTGGGTGAGCTGCGGCCGTGACAATGGAGCAGTGCCGCGCGGGTTTCGTGATCTGAGTCACTTTCCTTCCCCGCTCAGAGCAGAGCAGAGCAGAGCAGAGCAGAGAGCTCCTCCTCCCTGCCCATCTCCATCTGCACTTTTGCTGTGCGACCTGCGACAGCCCCGAACCAAGTGCATCTGCAGAATTTCAATCGTCAAGAACAAACAGTGGTTAGAAAATACTCACAAGCTAGCTTGGGAAAAAATCACCTTCACGGCTGGTGGACAAGACAATGGCCCCAATGCAAATTCCTACATCTTATTACTCGCAGAAAAATCATCTCACTATTCTTGGTCTTAAACGTATCTTTAAAACTTCTCATGTACAATAGAAAATAAAGGAATTTATTTAGAAATAATTCAACTCCAGAAAAGCAGTTGGAAAAATATACCTAAGTAGATGTCATTAAAATAACCAGAGGTGACACTCGCGGCCTGAGTTCCTCCTCCACAGACAACGCCAGCTGGCCTAGGACTCAAACACAGCTTTAGCTACATGAGGATGCTGAAGTCCTGGCTTGCTGGTTCAAGTTCTATGCAGAAGGATTAGATGCCCTAGCCCAGCAAGGGGAGTTTAAATCAACAAGGCCCGGAGGAGAGCCGTGGCCGGGCTGGACGTCCTCACCGCTGACCTCCCCTGACTTTCAGGCAGCCAGGGGAGTGGTTGTTAGAAACGAACCAAGGGAACGAAGGGGCCGCCCTCACATCGCCATTCGGGGCAGGGCGTCTGCCCGTCTCTGAGGACAAGCCATTGTTGAGAAAGTAAAAGGATCAGTATTTAGAGGATAATTACAGGAGTGTGAGAGGTCATTCTAAATTTAATCACTTCACATAAAGTAAAAGAAATGTTAACATTTTAAAAACATAATTAAGAATTCAGTTAACAAATCTCTGCCATATTTTCACAAACAGTATAAATGCCACAGACAAAAATGACCGACTTAAGTTGTGCAAGTATATGACACACATTGCAGGCATGAAAATTATCTTTTTCAAACTCGATAAATCAAAACAGCAGCAAGGCCAAACCACATTTTTCCCCTCTCTCAGGTATAAGAATTTTTTGTTTCTTGAAATGAGGTAAAGCGTGGTACAAGTGCAACAATGCCGACCTGTGCTACATGAACAGAACAGAGGGGAAAGGCGGTTTCAAATGCAGCATAGTTAGGACTGCGGAAAAGTAGGTTATAAAAGAAACAAAAGACATTTACAATGAAGGTTCATGCCAAGTAAGCTGCACACGACCATCACAAGGAATTTCTGCAATTGCTTTTCCACGTTGTGCCTCACCAGTCCTTACATACCGGCGGGGGCTCAGCCACGCCACCAGCTGGCCCCCATGTTACATTCTGCCTCACACTGGGAAAGTGGGCAAGCCGAGCAGGAGAGGGAGAGGGTCACACACAGTCCTAAAGGAGGGCTACAGAGAAGGGCATTTTTTTTCTTGACAGATGCAAAACATTGCAACAAACAAACCCAGGGAAAACTCCACAGCATTAACACACAGCACGACCGACGTGCTCAGAACCATTTCCTATGTCTAACTGCAACTTGTTATTTTTTAACTTGGTCACCAGGGGATCAGAGAATGTTTCAAACTGTGAGTTAAATTAGTATCAGCTATTTTTCTCTGACAAAATAAAAACAACGAAATAACTAAAACGTGAGGCTGATAAGACATTGTGAATGGTTGCAGGAAATTTGCACCACTGAGAATGGATAATCTAATCATATCCAAGTCTGAACTTCTTAATATTAACAACAACAACAACAACAAAATACATCTTCTTAAAGGTTACAAAATATATTGAGGCATTTTCCTCATGCTGGAAATCATAACTGTGAAACAATCTGATTTTGGTGCCAAGAAGCAAGAGACTCCCTAACCAGCGAGATAAACGTACAGACACAATGCCAAGCCCTTGGCTCCTGGCCTCCGGGGGCTTCTAAATCGAGACCTGTGATGGGACCACAAGCCCCACCTCAGCAGCAAAACCAAGGATGTCCCGCCACTGTGCAATTAGACAGTTATGCAGGTTAAGAATCGCTTGGTTTTCACTTGCTGTGATCTCTCATGTTAATGTTGCTTAAAAAAATTTCAGACAGACATCTAAAGTTCAAAATTAGAATATTTTAAAAATGAGTCACTTATTAATTTGCTTAAAAAATCATTCAGTAATTGAGATCTCCAAACAACCAGCAAGAAGCTCCCCCTCCCCCTCCTTCAGGGTGCGGGGGAGGGGGTGTGTATGGGGGGAGGGGGGAGCTGGCAGCCTCGAGTCTGCATCCACATAGGCATTTCTCTGCAGGTGCACAGAGGCCACTTGTAGTTGAAAACAGAAATGCAGCATTCATCTCAACTCCAGAAGGACATGCAGGCAAAGAAGGCCTCGTGTGCTCAGCCCTGCACTCGCTCCTGGGCTCAGCTTTCTTACACTTCAAGCATAATTAACCGGGCAAATTGCAGCAAACCTCCACTGGTATGCTGGGAGTGCAAGACCAACCCATAGCTTTTTAAAAGGTAAATTAAGAGGTATTATAGTTACAGTGCAAAAAAAAAATAAAATTTCAAGCATAATACATAAACATAGCACCAAACAGGGGGAAAAATGCATGCAAAAAGGAAAGAAAAACTGAGGTATTTAAGTGAAGAGTGCCTATGCATCTAATTAAAGAAACTTAGGCAAAAGCCTAATTTTTGTTTCCTTTTTCCCAAGATGGAAATAATGAGCTAGTTTAAGTTAGTGACTAAAATCACAGATGTATCAAAACGATGGCAGTTTATGGCAAAGGTTAAAGTTCGTGTCGCTGACAGCATGGCCTGGCTAGGGGAGGTATGCATGCAACCTGGCGGGAGCCTGGGGAGGGGCTCCCAGAGCAGGCAGGAGCAGGCTCCCCGCTTCCAAGTGAGCAGCGGTCCATAGAAAGTCTGCAGCATTCTGAGGGGTCATATGTCTACGGGTACTTGTTAGAGCAACAGCCTACAGGCAAAATTCTTTGCCACAGAAATTCCACCAGTGGAATTCTCTAGCAGGAGGGTTTTATTTTTATTCTTTGTAAAATAGAATATTTAGCCCAGATTAATTTTTTATTATGATGTCTGCTTTTTAAAATGTCTTCGGTACACGTGACAGATTCTAGCACGATCCTGCAGTATGTTACAAGTGTACGGTGAGCTGTCCATCTCGGTCTCAGCATCTCACACCTAATCAAATCAAGGAGATACAAAACAACTAGTTCCAAAGATAATAAGAATTAAAGAAGAATAGCCATGAAGTTTTCACTTTTAAGGCAAGAACCTTTTTAGGACTATGTGGCATCGGAAACTCAGCGTTGATTCACCAACGCGCCAGCCAATGGTGGCTAAACTGTCCCTTATTATTACTAAGTGCCACAGCAACCGGCCGAGCACAGCCGGTGGACAGAGGCGGCCCGGGCACGGTCTTGCTCCTGATGGTTCAGTGGCTACCGCTGTACAAGCTCAGCATGGTTGGGGCTCTGTGGGACTGGAGGATAGAGGAGCGTTGAGCTCCAAGGTCTTCTAACGCTAAGCAAAGCTGACAGAAACAGATGCAAAACACACACATACACAAAAACACACACAAAAAAAAACCCAACCCAAAACAACGAAAAAAAACAAACAAAAGAAACCTGTCTATCAGTACTTAGAACACTAGCTAAATGTCATCATTAAAGCACTCTTGTGATTTAAACAAAGCAGAAGTGAGGAAAGAAGACAAGATTGTGTTTGCGCAAAAAACTAAAACTACAATTAGTTCCAAAAATTTTATACATTACGTTAAATGTTTTTATTCTGTTATCTATCTTGTTATCAAACAAACTTTAGATTCTGCCTTCGATTCATTCTGCTCAGGACCAATGCGCAATCATCCCTGGGGTGTGGACCCCTCCCCTCAGTCCTGCTTCTTGCTCCGAAGCTCACAACAGGTCAGCTGCCGGGAAGCTGGGGTTGGCTAGCTTTGAGGCTGCGGAGGGCTCTTCTCGCTGCAGCAGATTTGGCGATCCTGTAACTACGGCCGACACCTTTAAATTTCCCCTTTCCTACGACTTCCACGGTGACTCTGACCTTCCCGTCGTAAGTTCTTTCCGCCGGGCTGTAAAAAGTCCAGACAGCTTGAATTAGCAGGCAGAAGTATTTATTATTATTGTCAGTCAGCGTGGTGCGGGCACTCTTGGGCCGAGAGTCCCAAGTTTGAGCAGACACGGCACAAAGGAAGCGGGTCTTGGGACTAAAGCACGTTGCCCACAGGGCCGCCGTTTCGTCCCAAACTCAGCTTTCCTTTATGAAAACAAAACGAAGAAAAAGAACAGTCAATCTCACTGAGGGGTGGAAATTGGATAAGAGTGCACCCTAGTGTAAATATTTCTCAGAATCACTGCTTGGTGGTACCTTTGAGAACTTCTTGCTTTTAGGTAGCTCGTCCCTCCCCTCCCCCACATTTTCTCCTTACCTAAATTTGGCAGTTTCTGGTTCCATTTCAAGCAATTCTCTCACCGGAGAACGAGGCACATTTGCAGAAAACTTTTCTGTAATCAAAATGGAAGAGGGACTTGAGTCACAGGCTTGGGGTATTTTTGCAGGCTGGTCTGGCCTCACCCGAGCAGAGCCGGCCATACCTATGAGCGGGCGCATCATGGGGTAGTACACCTGCCACACGGTCTCCAGAGACATGCCGCTGTCCATGTAGATGGCGCCAGCGAGGGACTCGAAGATATCCCCCATGGCCTTTGGAACTTCAATGTCTTCTTCTTTCTCCTCGTCCTCCTCGGACCTCCTGAGCTGTTACAGAGAGTGTGACATGTAAGCATAGAGCCCATTTCTAATGATTTTTTAAAAGAATCATTTCTTCAACAAGAGCAACAACACAAAGAATCCAGGGCACACCTGCTATTCACAAAGAAGAAAAAATCTCCACCTCCATTTAGTAGTCTACATCTAGCAAAGGGGAAAAATTTTGCTACTAAATTAAAACATAAGCCAGGACAACACCAATGGAGATAGTCAATCAATGTGTGGAAAACCACTTCTTCAAATGTACTCGACACGGGGGCAGAGGCTCCCCAGAACAGCACGGCACTGCTCTGTCACTTTGACAGGGAAGTTCCTTCTGGAAGGGTTTCCCTCCAGGCTTCCTTTTCATTAAATCACTTAACACAAGTTCACTACAATAAAGTTCCTGATGCACAGTGCACAGTCAAATGAATAGGCTAAAATCTTATGTGTATATCTATATATATGAAAACACTTTTAAAAATCCACCATTCTTTGATACTGAAATTCTGTCCCTGGAAACTTCTCTTAGAAAGGTAACTGGATATATCAATCTATTCAGCGCACCTATATTTACTAAAAGCCCTAATCCAAGACATCCATAAAGGGCATTTACAGAAACGAGGCACACAATACTAGCGACCATATGCCAGCAGTCATGCCTGTCGGCCCAGCACACACAGGAAGAGGACAGACACAACAGTTCCCCTCTATGCCTCACAGTGGTATGGTGCATCGCAAATGCTCTCACTGTGCTTATTTCTGAGGAAGCATAATTTGACAACTTCAATTAATGTTCTGGTTTACCTGTATTTTCTAATTTAATAAGCAGTCCTTGGGAAAAAGGATACCGAACATAGAGGGACATATTAACCTTAAATGAATTGCTTAGCCACACCAAGTTCTATAGATTTGCAATACTGACTTAGTGCTCGCATCTCACAGTTGGGGAACAGAAAGGAATTCTAGAACTTAGCAAGTGTTATTCTTACTTCACAGCTGAGGACATGAAGGCCTGCAAGAGAGAGAGACTTCCTCAAGATCAAATACTGAGCTAGAAAAGCCAGACCACGACATTCCCATACGTTTTTGTAACTTCTACACATATGTTTATACAAACAAAGAGAAGAAATGAACAAAAGCTAGCAGGATCAGTATGCTCCCTGGCATCCAAAGAGAACTTAAATTGTAACACATCCCTCCCATCTAGAGCTTGGGTGTCCGTGTCCCAAAGCCTGACCCCAGGAATGGAAGTCGTGTAGGTGGAGTTTCCCTGGGGCTTGACCGCCGGCTGTGGAGAAGAGCACACGACAAGTAGGAACATGAGCTATGCACAGACTTCCTTCAGTGTTATCTGCTCCACAGCTGAAGTCCCAGACCCACAAAAGCCAAAAGACTCTACTACTCCCAACAACACTTGGAGATAATTAGAGAGATGGTACAAAGGAAAGCAAGAACAATCAGGAACAAACCCTTTGGCTCTTTGAAAGCAATCTACAGAAACAAGCAAACAAGAGGAGTGTTCTCCTAGCGCCTCCAAGGCACATGAGCACTGAGGTGGAGGAGATGAGGGCCTGAGCACTGAGGTGGAGGAGATGAGGGCACATGAGCACTGAGGTGGAGGAGATGAGGGCCTGAGCAACACCTTTCCTGTGAAGCTGGGGGCACACACGTCCGCACTCGCTGGTCACCAGAGAACCTCCGGCCAAAGTCTCAAGAGATGCCTCTCAAGTGCCAGTGCCTAGAAGAAGTTTGGTTTCAAAATGAGATCTCCCCCCTTCAATTAAAGCAGAACACACTCTTGTGAGGCTTACCTGTGACACCAGCCAGTATTCCAACCCATTAAAACACACAGAGATGGCACACCAAGCTGTAAGAGGAGTGACCTATCCAGGGGTGGAAAGGAGGTGCGCTTGTGTGGCTTGCCTCAACCCTAGGATCTTACCAAGGGCCAAGAACAGGAAGTAACTGGAAAGCCCACTCCTCCTCCTGCCTGAAGGGCCTCGCGGTCATGGAGAGGGCAGGCAGGTCTCAGAGCCACCTGAGCTCCTGAAGGGCCTTTCTGTTCTCTACTTGCAGCAGCCTGGCCCTGGCCTTCAGTGGTCCCTCGGGTCAGTCATGAAGCCAGAGCTCAAGTGACTGGGACTTCTGGCTGGATGGCTTCCTTGATGTAGTTTCAAACAGTACTAACCTCAGAATCCATGCCCTGCATCTCATTCTTCTCCAACTGGAACTGCACGAAGTCATCGATGACGTGGAAGAGCTCGGGGGAGACAGCTTTGAAGTACTTGTGGTAGTCATACTTCACAGCCAGCGACGCGAAGATGGTGTTGTTGACCAGAGCGGAGCGCAGGTCGGTCAGGACCCCTGGGGAGTGCTGTCGAGGGTCTTCATAAAGGTGCTTGGTTATGAGGTAGTCCAAAATCGCATCTCCCAGGAATTCTAAGCGCTGGTAACAATCTGCACGAGGAGCAGAGAGGAAGCAGCGGCTGCGTGACACCACTCACCCTCGGCACCCTGGCCTCACTCTAGAGACGCTGCCTTGGGTCATCATCAAACACCCCATCTTCCTCCATGAGATTACACTCAACGGCTTACTAAAGCCTCTGGAAATTAGGTTTTAATGTCAACTTAAGGCACATACACACATATTATACACATACACATGCATACAAACGAGGGTCAAAAGTTTCAAATGCCTGTTAGGAAAAAAATGATTTTCCAGGTGCCATCTCGAGCACACTGTGTCTGGTCACTGCTGGCTGGGCAGGCTCTGGGCCCCATGGGCACTGTCACCTGAGTTACACCATGTGTGGCACACACACCTGGCACACACTGCTCTGCTGCCCTCACTGCACACTGTCATACTCTGGAATGTGTGGATAAGTGACATCTCTTCTCACCACACCTGGCCACACAGGTTACACAGTGACAGCTGGAAAAAGAGGACCCTCTTCTCAACATAAGCTGGAAATACTGACTCTGATCCAAGCCAAGACACTGAGAAAGAAGAGTTGCAGAACTGATCAAGGACCTCGGCAAAAATGGCTGTCAAGATGTGAGAAACTCTCAGAGCTAGGCAACATCTTAGTTTTCTCACCATGATTAGGAGAGGAAACTGAGGCAGACAGGCAGGCAGAGGCTGGCCTTCAGGGCTCCAGCAGAGGGTATAAAGCAGTATGGAAGCCGGGTGCCTGTTCTTCCCCCCAAAGAAAGGCAGCCTTTACTCAGTAAGCCAGTTTCCTAACCAGAATCAGAGTCATTCTCTTTTGGTTTTAAACTTTACAGATCTTAGCCTACACTGCTTTTATTCCAGAAACTACAACTCTGGACTTGTTTGGGCATTCTGGATTCAAGCATGTACCATCCATGTAGAGAAAACAAAACCAAGTCACAAGGTGAAGCTAATCTTTAATTGGGGGATGGAGTGCTTCTTGCAATCCTTATGGGTTAGGAGCATACTAAATAAAAGAATTAAACAGAGCACAACAAACACCTAAACATGACAGCAGAGCCAGCTTTCCTGTGAAACCGTGTCTACTAACTTTCCTGTCTTTAGGTTTAAAAAACTCAGAGGGCCTCTGACACATCTAGGAGGGAAAGGAAAGCCGAGGATCAATTCAGATCCCTACGCAGCACTGAATGTGCAGGAAGAAAGCATGAGTGGAAGCAGACGGTAAATACATGAAATGCTATGGCTTAAATTTCTCCATGCAGCACATAAAATGAAATCAGGGAAAGTATGCAAGATCACCACTGTCCAAGTTTCTAAGCAGTTCTTCCTCCCCCAAAAGATAGGAAAACAAAGATCTTTCTCTTTTCTCTCTCTAGCTTTCTCCCAACCGTACATATTAATAGCACTCAGACTGCCCGTGCATAGATCATTTTTTATAAGACCCAAATTATGCACCAGGCAGCGTTTCCGGGTCAGGGCCGGCATGGTGTGGGCTCCTTACCTGTGATGGTGTTGTAGTGGTAGGAGGCGTGTGTGAAGGCCTGCAGAAGGTAAGCCTTGTTCTTGAATCTGTAGCTGATCTTCTTCTCGAAGTTCTCAAAGCCCGATATCAGGTGGTTGAGGGTTTTATCTGCATCTGGGTGGTCAAACATACACCTGGGTGGGATCTTCAGGGAGCCGTATTCCAGGCCGGTCCGTCCTGCAGAGCGGGGGCCGGCCGCTGGGGCTGTGGCGGAGCTCCCTAAAGGGCTCCTTTGTTGGCTGCCGCAGAGGTCCCTGGCAGTCCTTTTCATTAGAGGGAGCACCTTCAGCCCCAGCGAGCAGAGGAAAAGCTGTGCTGCCCTCTCCCCGCAGCTGGTCAGGTAGCAGCCCAGCAGGGCCTCCACGCAGTCTGCTATGCTCTTGTCGGCAATGCACTGCTCTGTGTGCAGGTCGTAGGAGAGTGACTGCTTCCCCGTGTCAACCCCACAGTTCTCTTCGGACGGATTCCAGAACCCCACCACGAAGTCGTCCTCTTCAACAACTTTGCTGGGGTCCAGATAGCACATTGCATCCCAGGAGCTATAGTCGAAATCCTCCAAGTCCGGTGCAAATGGCATATTACCTAAGGAGGATTTTTTGGGCATTTTCCATTCATATGCAGAATCAGTGGTGGAAAAGGGAGAGAGAGAAATTTTCTTTACAAAAGCTCCTGACCCCATCAACATGTTGTCTATAAACTGAATGTGCTCTTGATCATACTCCAGGAAGTCATCTTCATACTCGGCCTCCTCCTTGGGAGCCCTCCAGGGCAAATCCTCCTCCTCCTCCTCTTCTTCTTCCTCCTCCTCTTCTTCCTCCTCCTCACAGTCCTCATCCAGTTTGCCATTTGCCAGCAGGCGGTCTTTTGTCTGAAACGGGGGATGAAGAAGGAGGGGAAATATAGCTGCTGTTTTTAAAAGGGTTTGAAACTCAATAAAAGCAAGGGTTATGGATAATTTCAAATGACAACCACAAATACTGAAAGGCAACTTTAAAATCATGGCCATTTGTTTTCAATTAACATAAAATAAGTTATTTAATCATATAAACAAAGTAAAACATGTTCTTTGAATGTTCATTTTCTAGGTTATAAAATGACCTTTACGCAATAGAAAGCTGTAAGTTACGAGTCCTGAACAAGGACATAAAGTTCAAATGAACGTCCACGAGGGCAAGTCTCCGGGGAAGGCTGACTGAGAGCCGCGCACCGAGGGTCGCACAAGCCCCCCACCCACGATCTCCTAAAACACGGTGAACTGACTTCCAAAAAGATTTCCAAGTGAATAGAATGAAATTCCAGGTAAAAGAGCATTATATTTTCAATTAAGAATATAAAAGCAGATGAAATTATCTTCAAAACTTTATAACACTAAGATTGTGCAGAAGGATTTTATGATGCTTTATCTCTCTATTTCCATTGCAAATCACAAGACATTTGCTACAACATAAGATTAAACTGTTTTGCTTAAAAATAAAAATGAGCATTGAACTGAGAAATCACTCTTTCCCTCTGCTTTGAGCTGTAGTGATCAGGGTAACACATTACAGCATAACTGACAAAAATAGGAGAAAACTTACACTAACATGAAACACAACAACTCAATTTCTGTCAAAAGATCTTTGCTAATTCCAATTACTTTGGCAAAAGCTTATTTGTGAATGACAACCTTAATAATGGAGGAAGTTACAATAAAGGTAGAATTTTTGTGCAATGCTAAAAGAAGCCCAATTCCTGTTACACAGTAAACATATCAGCACACATGCGTACACACACACAAACACACACACATATACACACACAAACAGAACACACAATACCACTTTACTTTTGGAGAAAAGCAGGAGAGTATGCTTCAATTTTAACTGTATATAACAACTTTCTGGAGTACTCAGAAAAAAATATTTTCAAACTTTTTGTCAAGCATTTTAAAAGTAGAAAAACAGCTCATTTTAAACCAGATTCAAAAGAGATTGAAACACTGTATTTGTTTGAAAAGGAAAAGAAATCACAGCAGAGAGGCTAAACATATAACTGTATCGTTCGCTGTTTTTTAATTAAAAATGAAACTTTTGACAAATAAGGAGGAATACTAAAAAAAACTACAGTGGCAGACCTCAAGGAACTATTTCCTGTCAACCCTCTGTATTTTTCCAAGGTAACATGAGATGGTTTTGACTATTGTTTGGTTCCTAAGACCAAACAGGACAAGTTGCAATTTAAAACCTCAGGCTGAATAATTTATAAAAATTTGTTTTAAATCCTTGTAAAAAAATCTCTAGTAAGGTGCTACCAAAAGCTAATGCTAACACAAAAGAATAGTTATATCACAAATAAACAGCCTGACGATGGGCAAAAAGACTAATAAAGCCTGATTTTCAGCATCTTCATCCACTAAGGAGTAGGTTCAATCTCACAAAATGAGGTTCTATGGAGTTACCACCACCCTTTCTCCCAGGAGACCTTCACATGCCAAGGTGCCACCACCGGTACCAGTCTGCTAAAGGGACAAGCTAGGTGGGAGAACAGGAAGGGCAGATCAAAAGCACCATGGCAGGGGCTGGGAAGGTGGCTCAGTGGGAGAGTGCTTGCCTCGCATGCATGAGGCCCTGGGTTCGATCATAAACCATCATCAACAGAAAAGCTAAAAGTGGTGCTGTGGTTCAAGTGATAGAGCGCTAGCCTTGAGTACAGAGAGGCTCAGAGACAGTGCCCAGGCTGAGTTCAAGCCCCAGGACCAACAACAAACAACAAAAAGTCATCATGGTTTCAAACAGAATGCAAATGGCTACTGCAGAACCTGTGACTCCCTAAGTTAAAGTCTGAGCAGTGTTTTCAATGTGTCCCAAGAACCAAAGTGCCAAGTTGCAGGAACACTAAGGAAAACAAGAACTCTATGCTGCATCTTTACAAATCCAAACCAAATCAACATGGTAATATCACTTTTATGTGATATTTTTGAAGAGTCAATAATATCATGAAATGACATTTATAGAGGATTATTTTTTTTTCTTTTTTATTCTTTGCCAGTCCTGGGGCTGGAACTCAGAGCCTAGGCACTGTCCCTGAGCTTCCTTTGGCTCAAGGCTAGTACTCTACCACTTGAGCCACACCACCACACGGCTTTTTTTGTTTATGTGGTACCGAAGAATTGAGCTAGGGGTTCATGAATGCTAGGCAAGCACTCTACCACTAGACCACTTTTCTTCAGAAAAAATACAGCATGTTTCCTAATGTTCGAAATTGACATGCTTTCAGAGATTCTATGTATTCTAAATCAGTAGGTAATGTCAGTTTTCCAACCTAACTTGCCTTTAACTGTTATCTTAATGTTTTTTCAGGTAAGTTCCATTTATGTGATAAGTCAAATGCTATATGAATTATATGTCCAACAAGCCAGGCATGGTAGAGCACAACTATAATCCACTCAGGAGACTGAGGCAGGAGGATCTCGAGTTCAACGTCAGTCAGAGTTACACGATAGAACTCAGTCTCAAATAACAACAACAGAAAAGGACTAGAGGTAAGGCTCAAGTGGTACAGGCCCCCAAGTTCAAACCCAAGCACTGTCAAATAAGTACAAAAAAGCGAAGACACAAAACAAACAAGAACAAGGGAAAACACTCAACAAGCAGAAATCAGCATAGTTGTGGAGTAAGTTAACCCTGTAAATATTTAAGATTTATCTAGGATAGGCATGTCAGAAACAAAAGAAATACTATTTTGAAAATACAACATTTCTTTGGAAATGAAGTAAAATGAAGTATCACAAGCCAGTTACTCATGAGTGAGAAGTGAGCCCAGGAAAGAAAGCTGCCAGGATAGCTGTGGCGGCGAGGAGGGGCTCCCAGCCTCAGCCAGGAGGAGGTCAGCTATGCCGAGGCCTCCCAGCTGCCCCCTGGTGGCCTCCAAACAAGACAAAGGGAAGCAGGGCTGCGCCTTCCAAAGCCATTATTAGCAAGGCTGAAGTTATTTCCACCAGATTACAACCTTAGGGACGGTGGCATTTCTTTAGATCACAGGAGAAGCAAACAGTCCTGAGAAAGCCCTGAGCTAGCAAAGCTAGCTGGTACTGAAATGAATTATTTCATCCATGGCATGGCAATCACAGGTCAGGGAAAAGTCATTTTGTTCAAAAGAACTAATAGGAAAAGAAAGGAAACTGGGAGAGGTTAGTTAGCTTTTCTTTTTAAATCAAAACATAAAATCTTCTGCCTCTGAAAAAGGAAGGTAACAAAATCATTCTCTAAATACAAAGAAAAGATAGTCAATTTAAAGAAATTATTCAATATATCAACTATCTTCTGTATTGTAAACATACCATGGAAGGGAAACAAACCACCACCACCACCAACAACAAAAAACCAACCAAAATTCTTCAGCTCCCCCAAAAACCTACCATTTCGTCTTTCCCCCACTTATCTGTATTCCTTTTGTCTTGACTTACGAGGCAACCAGGGAAAACCTACCATTTCATCTCTCCCCCACTTATCGGAGTTGCTTCTGTCTTGATTTACCACATAGCCAGGAGGAAGCCAATTCACGGGGGGGTCAAATATGGACACCACCATGCGGCTGGGCAGGCCCTTCTTCTTGCCAAGGCGATACAGGTTACAGTTGCTGACCTTCAGCAGAAAAAAATGCACAAGACACTTAGCCATAAATGGTCTAGCAAACCACGCATGGGCCACTTAGCACAGTCTAAATGTTCTTCATTATAACGGCCATGCATGATGGGATAAGAATTTCAAATTCCTGTGTTCTATATTCTCTGGTGTTTCTGAATATAAAATGCAGTCTATTAAAATCTATTATACACAGACATACAATAAATGAGTTAAAAGGAACAATTCCATTTTAGAGCTTGCAAACAACTTGATGATGTATGATACAAACTGCTAACTAGAACTATCAAAGAAGACAAGAAGAGTCCACACCAATAAAATCGAGATGTCACAATATTCTCAATGAAAGGGATAATCTCTACTTACAAATTTCTAGTTATAAATGCTATCAATGCTAGTTACAGATTTTCTAGTAAAAATTGGCAATGCACAGAGCTAAAACAACTTTGATTTCCCTAGAATCTAAGACAGAAATGTAATTTTAATTATAACATTCTCTCAAAAATTATCTTTTGTTTTGGATAACTTTTTATGACATTGTTGTCCAACCATTTTTAAATGGAACAAAGCTAACAAAAAGCATTTGTTTATTCACATCAATGAAACAGTCTTATTATTTACCCTCTGGTCAATTTCAATTTTCTTTTCTATCCCCTCCCTAATTTGCTCCAAACTTTGTAGTTCTCTCTAGTTTTTTTCTTGGAGACTCTGGTCTACAACTGTTGACCTCAATTCCATTTTCTGACTTGCTATTGAAGAATTCATGAGCTCTGCCCCTGTGACTCAGCAGCTACAGACCAAGTACCTGCCTGGGGGAGGCCCTTGGCTAGGAAGCCCAGCAGGAACCAGTCAGAGGCCAGAAGAACAGTTCTCGTGGAGTACATAGACTGTCGGAAAAAGAGCCTGTAGGAACCAGCATTCAGGGTTAAAGCAATCTCCTAGCTGCCTACAGAGGAACCGATACAAGTAAGTACTGGGCTCCCTTATGCTATGAGAACAGAGTACCCTAAGGAAGGAAAGCATGTCCAGAGCTGGTGGAAATGGAGCAGAACAGAGAGTGAAGGTCTTGGTAACAGGCAGAGAGGGTCTTGGTAACAGGCAAAATTCACAGGAGGCAGGAAGAATCCAACAGGTGAGCAGGTGAGAGAAGAGTATCAGCGGAGGCAGAGGGATGAAGTGTGGACAGGGCTGGGCATGGGCAAAGCATAGAGTAAGGGAAGCAGGCAGCGTGTGGCCAGAGCCCGCCAAGGAGGAGCCCTCTGAACAGGCCTTCTCAGCAATGGAGGCAGGGACAGGTGTTCTGCAGAAACACAGGGGGCTGATCCGATGAGTGGACACACTTTGCCACCAAATGGGCTATTCTTACTGAACAGTGCTGCTTCTTTCTTTGTACTCCTGCTCAGCCTTGTACTTCCTTCCTGCAACCATCCCTGTGAAAACTCATTCACTTAAGGAGACCTATCTTCCAAAACCAAACTGGACTCCTAAATTCACAATTACCTGAACGTCTCCACATGATATTCCCAGAGGTCTACAACCCCCAACCTTAAATAACTTCCTGCATTCCCACTCCTGCTGCGGTCCCCAGCTTTCCAGCCCACACAGATTCGTGGGCATTCCCAGTCTGTCTCAGGTTCTCTGGGGTGAGAGTGCCTGCCCTCCCACGGGCTGAGCACACTTAGTGCAAAATGGGACTGTGGGAGCTGCCCACAGAGCCCAGCGGGGAGAAAGACTTGAGAGGACATTTGTACAGGGCCCCGAGCTATGCCTGGGGCTGGGCAGAATCAGAAGGGAACAGTGAAAACCAAGTTCCTCAAAGCAGCTCGGTGTGGGCTCGATCTCAGCTCTGCCCCTGGCTTGCCACGTGCCCTGGGGCAGGGCAAGGCCAGCCTCCAGCCTGGTGCCCTATCTCTGCTCTGGGATAATGAAAGCATACACCTCTCCAAACAGTTAGCTCAAGGGTGTCTGCTGCGGTCACATATAGAACTCACATTCAGCTTCTGCCTTTGGTTGGGGTGTTCTGATGGCTAGTCTGCTGCCAGACTAGTATTTTAAGAGATCATCTCACTAATATTTACAGTTCTGTGCTCAAACATCCTTCAAGAGTTCCAGAGCATTCACACTAGGTGCAAGTCCTCAGCCTGGCCCCGGCTCAGCCCCACCGGCACAAGCCTCTGCCCAGCTATCTTCTATCTCCACACAGCCCTGTGTGGCCCCACTCAGAGCCTATGTTCAGCTCCCTTTGCTCAGTTCCAGTGGGGTGGGGGGTAGGGGACACAGAAGACTCTAAGCTTCCGTCCTTCATGAGCGCCCTCTCTGACTCTAGGGTGATGCTCCTTCCTCTGTGTGCTGGGTAGGTAGTATTGGCTAAGGGAGCTCCAGCACCTCTTTTATTCATTATTCTCCCACACAAGGTATAGAAGCACACCCTTCCTTGGAACCACCAGCAACTGCTCTCAATGTGGCTTCTTCTGTTCAACACTGGAGGGTATCTGCAGTCTCTGAAGCCCGGGACTCCGCCCTGCAGGAATCCTGGAATGTGGCAGAGTTCTGCCAGAAAAGATGGCATCTCACTACTGTGCCTACCTGTTCCTCCTCCCCGCTCCCCCAATTAACTTCTGTGCCTAGGATCTGGGCCACAAGTGCTTGTACCATGAGGTTTATTTGAACTTATCTGTTGATAAGTAAGCTGAAAATAAACATTCACAAATATTTACAGTGAGACAAGAATACTTGTAAATATATCAGTTAACCCCCAAACCTGAGCTGTCATCAGCAGAAAGCACCTGACCCCTGCTGGCGGCTTAATTCCAGCTGGTCTGGTAGAAGGGTGGGGCAGCCCGAGTGGCCTGAGCAATCTCTGTCCAGCGTGGCACTTGCCCCCCATCTTCTGAAGTTTCTCCACCTTTCCAACCACTTTCAGGCCCATGGACCAATTCCCTGCTCAAGCAGAGAGCATCACATCTTACCTTTTTGCTTCTCATGTATGAAAGGCGGCCCTCGTGAGCGTCAGGGTAAGTGCAAAAGAGATAGGTGGTGATGGCGTGCTTTAAGAAGGAGTCACCAAGCATTTCAAGCCGCTCCAGGTTGAACCCATCACTGGCATTTGACAGAGTCAAAGCCTGAAGAATGAGCCCAGGATTAGGGCCAAGCGTCCTCGAGGATAGCCCAGCAGGTGGGCCCTGCTCGCGGTCCATCCTGTCCTTGAGTGTGTCAACAGCACTGGCCGTAGCAGTGCCAGGCCTCGTGGCCACTGCGGGACTTCCATCTGAGGTAGATTTGTTAGCATTTCCACCAAGGTATTTATTACTCAGTAGAGGACATTCATCGCTGGGCTTGGGCTGGTTCTCATAATTGTATAAATTCTGAATGGGATATGAGGTAGTTGGTTGTACAGGTATTTCCTGCTTGTAGTAATTCAGCTGATTTCCTTGGCAAAAGTCTCTGTTAGCTAAATCGTAACTGCCATTGGCAAGGTTTTTATTGTAAGAAAGACCATTAATTGCTGTCAGATCTGTGGAGACTTCAATCTGGAGCTTACCAGGGGACCCGCCGAGTAGCGTTCTGCAGGGCACAGACATTTGGTCGTGGTTTTCTAAGGAGGTTCTATTAGCACCTTGATGTGCAGCATTTCCAGGGACTATAATTGTGCTGTGCTTACAGTAATGATCATTTTCAGCTGAAGAGGAGTTAGAAATTGAGATGAAGGATTTGCTGTCGATCGATTTTTTCCACCCAAAATCTAAGTTGGGATACCTGCAAAGACATTGTTTTACAATTTTGCAAAAGGACTAGTGATAGCATTTTGAACTAAAAAGCAATGATATGAGAAATACTCCCTAGTTTAGAAGAGAAACAAGTTCCAAGTCAGAATAGGACATAATGTGAAATTCTACACTAGGTCAATTATAATAAGCAGGATGTTGCTGCTTTAATGACTGCCCCAGAGCACAGCACAGTGGTTCAGCAGATCAGGCGCAAAGGTGGCCTGCAGGACTCGGAGGCACAGACTTTATGGTGGAACCCAGGCCTCTGATCAATCAGCCAAGCAATTCTGGACAACTTTCGTTGCTGCTTGGCCTCAGCCTCTGCTTGTGTAATGCAGCCAACAGCAACTACCACACCAGAATACCCTGAGAAGTCAATGAGTTAATACAGGAATATCACTGGAATATCATTTGAACTGATGTTTCACACTGTATTAAGTACAAATAACAGTATTCACATTGTGCTCAAAGTCCTTTCAATCCTGAGAGCCATCTGGTTTTTCTATTGGGTAAATGAAATTAATTTCAATGGATGAGCAAAAAAACTTCCCAGAATAGTCTACTAATGGGAAGAAAACAGTGAAGACAAAAGTACACACAATATACTTTTATGTTTTTTTAACTTTTTTTTTTTTTTTTTGCTTTTTCTTTTTTGGTACTTGGAATCGAACCCAGGATGTTGTATTTGCTAGGCAAGTGCATTGCCACTGAGCTATATCCCAGCCTGCCATGGATTTGATTCCTCAATACCACATACACAGAAAGAAAAAGCCAGAAGTGGCTCTATGGCTCAAGTGGTAGAGTGTTAGCTTTGAACAAAAGAAACTCAGGGACAGTGCCCAGGCCTTGAGTTCAAGCCCCAGGACTGGCCAAAAAAAAGAAGAGAAAGGCAGTCTTAACTGTTTGCACTCCCATTTCAATGTCACCACTGAAAAAAGAACATTAATTCTGCCTACCTCTCACCTTCAAGAACAGAGGGCCCGGTGACCCAGAGCGCTGGTGATTTACCTACCATGCCAGACAATGCATTTTCTCGTGTATTAGACATCTGTGTTTTCCTTCAGTCATTTAAGTCAACAGAAAAATAAAATTTTAAGTTGATTCCATTCTGTTGCACGTAGGACTTCACAACCCATGCTCTTTCTGACTACAGCATCTGCATACCTAAAATCCACAGGAAGGGATCTGACGCCCACACCAGCATCGCTGGCTGTCTGCGCTCTTAGCTCCTCTGCAGTCAGAAGGCAGTGAAGGCGGTAAAGGATGCTGGGGAGACAAACTGCTTTTCTCCACAGTGATGCTGGAATTGGATGTATAGCACAGAGTTCTGGAACCAGGATCTGTTAGTAAGGAAACAACTGAGTAGATCAATACAAAATGTAAACATACATGATCAAGTGTGCAGGCACAGAATAAAAAAAAGAAAATTAAGGTTATTTCACACTCATGGATGAGGATAAAAATCATAAATGCTATAAAAGCTAATTTTAGAAAGTATTTGAAAACAGTAATCCTTCAAGTCTAAATGGAATCCTTCAAGTCTAAATAGGACTTATGAGGAAGATTTCACAATGTAATTACAACAATGGTCCACAGATAAAGCAAAACTCTCAAAATTTACTGAAGCTGGCATGAAATAAAGTCTAAGGGTTGGGTGGCTTCCCAAAAATTATAAATCACCCAGATAATCTGATAATGTATCATTGAAACAGTCTTCAATTAATAAGTAAGCTGAGCACCAGTGGCTCTCACTATAATCCTAGCTACTTGGGAAGCTGACATGGAGAGGATCATAGTTTGAGGCTAACCTAGGCAGAGAAGCTTCTGAGACCCTTCCTCAACCAAGCACTGGGCCCAATAGCATACAACTTTTGTTCTAGCTATGGAAAGCAGATGAAAATAGATCACCACCTAGCCTGCATTGGACATAAAAATAACCAGCACAAAAAGGGCTGGACATGTGGCTCAGCAGGACAATGCCTGAGCCCCAGTACCAGCAACAACAACAAAAAAAGTATGCCAGTAATAATTCATTACCTGTTTATTCTGCAGACTTTCCCATTTGGCTTTCCTCTTTTCAGCACTGCTTAGAGGAAGTGCTTTTCCCTTCTGATTCAAATGTCGAGGTGTCAAAAGATTAAGTCTACAAAATTCAAAAGGAATTCATCAAACAGATGGAAATATCTATGTCATGGTAGTTTTCCAGCTGCGCCTACAAATCACATCTAGGGTACTGGCTGACTCCCTCGGCTAGGTTTTGTGCCAATGCCTTCTAATGTCACTGGTGCACAGGGGCACAGAGTAACACTTCTGCAAAGAACACTTCAAGTACAGTGGAAATGGCACTCCTGGAGTTCTTACCTGGAAGATGTGTGGTCTACATCTAGCAGTGGCTGGTTGAGATTGGTCAGGTCAAGGTTATACTTTGTTTTATAATATTCTGCAAATGTTTCATATTCAGGGGAAGGAAATTTACTGAGAGGGGTAAGATCAGTGTAGACATCAGCTACATAAAATCGGTGAGGCTGATCAAAATTGCGGTATCTAAAAGAGAAAATCAATTGGTTGCTTTTTCCTTTAAATCAGCTATTCCTAATACAACTGTTTTAAAATGGAAACACAAATTATGATTGAGAATTTAACAAGAGGTTAAATATAAATAGCATTAATAAAAATTTCAATTCCAAAGGTGGTATTTTAAATGTATCTGAGACAATAAAAATTGTATTTATCAGGTAAAAACTAACTCACCATTCTCTCCTACTCTGTTATTCTTCTAAAAACTTATACTTTGCTAACACATGAAAGCTAATTAGTATTTTAACATGTCTGATCATCAAAACAATACAGAAGACCAAGAATCTCCAAATATTTGAATAAACACTTTGAATGTTACTAAGGCAGAACACGAGATGCTGAATACTTGCCACATAAAATATGTTAAAGCATCTGTGACAATGATAGTCTAGTGATAATTAATGTCTGAAATAATTGAAGAAATATCTAACTGTACCCAGCACTCTAATTCTTGGAAAAGTGATTTATTTTTTATGGCTCAAAACTCAAAAATTTTATTGTGTATTTTTTTTCAAAATAAAAAAGTATTATTATCCCCATTGAGCTCAATAACATTATTCCTTATAGAAACTTCAAGAAACAAAATTATTATTCATGAGTAAATTCTGTAATAATATTTTGGGGATTAAAAGGAAGAGATTTTAAGAAGAAAGACTGAGTATTATTTAGCTGATCTGACCTTTACCTTCAGGGTGCTGGGTTTGTTTCTTAGGTGAGTGAACCGCAGAGAACAGCCCAATGGAAAAGACACCTATGTTTCCTATCCACACTATCAACGCTGACATCACTGCTCATACGGCCCCACATCAACAAAGTAGCTTTGAAAACAGAAGGTCAGCACCATGTTCCTTCCTGTTTAAATGCCTACCTGGAGTGGGTGGCTAGAGGTGTGGCTCAAGTGGTAGAGCACCTGTCTAGCAAGCACTGAAGCCTCAATAGCACCAACATAATAATCTTGGTAATCATGGTAATAAATACCTACCTTGGAATGATAACTGCATCTTGGTAATCTTCCAATTTAAAAACAAAAGGTGTCTCTTTTGAATACTTTGTACTGGGAATGCCTATTCGAGCTTCAGATTTCTCAATATCTTCCATGAATTTAAAGTCAATATCCAAAGTGCTGGAGTCATTAACTTAGGGGGGAAAAAAAGACTCTTTAACTTGTTAAAATATAATACAGATAAGATTCCTATTTGGGGTACATTGACACATGTCTGATTTAGTTATCATAGTTGGAGGCTTTCCTAGTAAACACCGTAAAATGACTTCTGCTCTGTAGCTACTGTGAAGGGACACTGTACTGCCAGATCCTTCTTACCGACATTGAGAGGTAGAACACAGTATGCTGAGTCGGCATCTGTAGGCTTAAATTCGAGTGCAGGTTTTTCAAGCCGAAGAATATGTGAGAATATATACTGGTGAAGTCTTGTGATAAGCTCAAGCATTTGGAGAGACAGAGTGAAACCAGATTTCTTCAGCTCGATTGATATGGTCACCTCTCCAGAACGTGTATACACAGGAAAGTGAGGAATCTGGGTCAAAAGAAAAATAAAGCAGATGTCAGTCAACAGGCATCTTATTCCAACTTCAGAAGACAAGGATGATCACTCCTTGGCCTTTTGGCTGAGATCAAATGCACAGAGTAAGCTGTTTTCTACTACTGACTCAGGTGACAGACTAAGGTGAGAGGCCTCTGTGAGCAGGCAAGGCCTACCTGAGGTATAGGCTTGGCAGTCAGTATCCCAAAACATCTTGTGGTGTCTTCTGGGGGATAGAGCTTCCGCCTTCTGAAGTTGAGCTCATCGGGTAAGGGGGTAGTTAACACCATTCCAATCACATACAGGTAGCAGGGCTCATCAGGTTTAGGGTAACTATCCCTCAAACACTCAGGAATCTAGAGTTGGAAAGAAACAATGAAGCATTGTGCTCAAATACAAATAGCCTCGATATATTCCCAGGCATATAAAAGGTTAGAAAGTACTCAGGGAAGAACTCTCGATTACATCACTCTGCCACCTGCTGCTGAAGTCAGAGTTTCTCACCTTCACTTCACCTATTTCTTCTGACTAGGAAATTCTTCTGCTTGGACTTCTTACTTACTCACTATAAAATAACAGACTTTATATAAAGATAGACAATTTTAAAAATCACAACACTCAAAGAGAACCTCACTATCATTTGTAATATATTATATAATCTCTTCACCTTTTCATATATGTGGACATTACATATATTTTCCAGCACATACACAATCCCACAAGACAGACTGGTGTGTGTCTGTGCATGTCTCCGTATCTGAGATAAGTGGAATTTTATCTCTGGTTACTTCAATGAAACTATCTTTCATTGAAACCATCAGTATTACTGACTGTCTCATTATCTGAGTAGTTAAATGGTCTTGAATGGTTTCTAAGCTTTCAATACTAATACACCCTACAGATTAGGGACCTGCAGTTTCTGAAAGGCAATGATAAATCACAGCATCCAGAACTCTGGGCCTGAGGCAGCTATGATTAGCAGTCTACCAGCACAGCCAGAATGCATGAGCAGGAGGTGGGCAGAGTGGGCTTCTCCCAACACTGGCTAGCATCAGTGGTGCTGGTCTCTTAAAAATCAGTCTAATAGGAACCCTGGATAGGAAGGAAACAAGCATTTCACACAAAAAAGTGATACATATATATTTTTAACAAAGAGCTTGGGACTCAGCTCAAATGGTAGAGCACCTGGCCAAGCAGGTACACGGTCATAAATTCAAACCCAATACTGCAATGAGAGAGAGAAAGAGAGACAGACAGACAGACAGACAGACAGACAGACAGAGACAGAGAGAGAGGGAAGAGAGAAAGGAAGGAAGGAAGGAAGGAAGGAAGGAAGGAAGGAAGGAAGGAAGGAAGGAAGGAAGGAAGGA